ACTGGACCCACTTGCTGGTACATCTTCGTGACAGCGAACTGGCTGTTCTGTATATTAGTTCTCAGGCGATCGAGACGTTGGCGAATCGAAGTCAGAGGTGGGCGCTCGGTCAGGCGATGGCAGGGTTTCGGGAGTGGGCAGAGACGGCGCCAGCCATCGGCACCCTCCACAAGAAGCTGAACAAGAAGCTGAAGGATCCCATGCCCGAGGTCAAGGATATCATCGTCGACGGTCAGGCCTTGCTGCGCCCGAGAGACGTTCTTGATCACAAGAGTGGTGAATGGGAGAAGGTTTGGGCCCCTGCGTTCCTGGCGGGCGATGGGCCCAGCATCGAGCTCGCAGCGCTCGGGGATTTTTTTGTGACATCCGCACGAGAGTTCAATGCGAGTCGTTGCCGCCACTGACTGTGCAGGACCTTCGCGAAGCCTTGAAGCGCATCAAGGCGACGGCAGCCATGGGGGTGGACCGCCTGAGTTCGCATGATCTCCTTCGGCTGCCCGATGAGGCCTTGCAGGAGATGTCGGCCTTGCTCAGTGTATGCGAGGCCACCCAGACATGGCCACATCAGGTTTTACTTACCACTGGGACTTTCTTACCACATAATGTACCAGGTGACAGAATCATCGGGCTGCTTCCACACCTTTCACGTGCGGTTGCAACCACGAGAGCCACATGTGAAGCAGTGGACCACCGAGCGTGAAGCTCACTGGGACGCAGCTATTAAAGGAAATGGTGCGATTGGTGAAGTTTTCTTGAGAGCGATCGACGAGGAATTAGCGGCGAAGCTCAAGATCAGCCACGGGGGCGGTCTGCTGGACATAGGCCAGTTCTACGACACGATCGGGTGGCTGATGGTAGGCAGGGCTGCGATGCGGCTCGACTCCCCAGCCGAGGTATTAGGTCTGGAGCTGATGCAGTGCATGGCGGCGCGGTGCTTGCGCCAGCCGGGTGCTTACTCGGAGCCCTTCGCTCCCTTGCGTTCTATTGCCCAGGGCCTCCGCGGAAGCACGCGATTCGCCAAGTGCGCGACGTACCACATCATGCATCGGCCGACGACGGTGCACGTGGGCATGTCTCAGCGGCTGTGGATTGATGACTTCAGCCAGTCACTCGATTAAGAGTACCAGTGAGACGATGCGCAACAAGCTCGCACATGCAGGTCGATGCAGCGCGCGGGCTTGTCTATTTCACCGAAGAGTGTCGTTGAATGCACAAAGCTGGACGACGCCAAAGCCATCGCGAGAAGAGTTCGCGCTCATGGATGTGTGGTCAAAGCTGTACCGCAGGCGCCATATTTGGGGGCCGACCTTGGCGGTGGGTCTCGTCGCGCGCGCGCCAGTCGGACAGCTAGGCAAGCTAAGCACAAAGCCACGCACAAGCGAGTTATCAAATATGCCAGAGCCACTCGTCGCTATGGTCTTACGTCAAGGTTGGAGCAGCAGGGAGCTCAAGCGGCTGGGGCCTACGGGCACCAGCTTCACGGTGCATTCGGAGATGCCATGACACAACTACGCTGGAAATGAGGCAACGCTATTGGTCCCAAGATACCAGGCCGATGCCTCACGACGTTGATTGATTTGAAAGCAGGTGGCAGGGACCCAGCGTGCAAACTTCCCCGTGAGCGTCTTCGCCCCTGGCTTACCTGCTGGGTGCGTCAGCCAACCATCCGTGACAGCATCGTGCTCACGTGGCCCGGGCTTGTTCAAGAGTTGAGAGCTTTGCCTCCGAACCAGAGGACACGGCACATCCGTGGCCCTCAGGGCGCAGTGATCTGTTACCTTCTGCAGGCTGGGTGGCGACCAGATTCACCGACGAGCCGGGCCACGCCGACGGCGGACGACGGTCAAGAGCGCACACGGCAGTTTTCGGCTGACAATCTCACGGGCATTGAGCACTTAGACGTACCCAACGCCTTTTTCGACGAGTATGAGCGCACGGCGCAGAACGATCTGGGACGCGTGCAGCTCAGCACCATGAAGGAGCAGGACTTGAAGGTGGGGCCTGCATTCAGTCGCACCGTCGTTTGCTACGGCACCTTGAGGGAGCTCCTGGTGGACGACGACTTGCAGGCCTTATGCTTGCGATTGCCGTCGGGGCCACGTGGCCCCGCGCGCGGCGACAGGAGCGGGCCAAGCAGGAGATGTCCCAGGACTGCCTTCGGCGCCGTGGCCATTGTGAGACTGCTTTTCATCGCGCGTGGGCCTGCGAAGGCCGAAGCAAGCATGACGCATATCAGCTCACAGAAAAGTACGTTGGAGAAGCCGACGCTCACGGGGGGGGGGGGCTGACGCCTGCTTCTGGACCAGAGGCCTCATCCCAGCTGCGTGGCTGTCTGTGGAGGCCCCGCAGGAGCATGAGAGTTGGAGCACCACTGGCGATGACTTCGTTGAGGGGTGCTTCGGCGAGGGCACGCTCGAGAAGCCCCTCTGCATCTTCGGCGACGCCAGCGGGGGGCGCGAGAGTCGTGACCCACGGCTTCGGCGCGTGGGATGCGGACTGGTCTGCCTGCGCGACCTCGCCGACGACATGGAGTTGTCCTTGGAGCGTGGGGGGGCCTGCCAGGCCCTCGGCAGACTTTGCCAAGAGGAGAGCTCATCGCTTTCTACTTGGCCCTGAGGGGCTGTCGTGGGCACCTCATCTACACGACCGACAACGAAAGTGTTATCATCGGTTGGTACAATCATCGGTATCGGAGTCCAGAGGGACCAGACAGTGATTTGTGGTGGCAGATCGGAGTTCATCTCGTCCAGCATCCTGGGCTTCAGTGCACGATGCTCTTCGTCCACTCGCACCTCGAGGCCGTCGACGCGCTGCGAGGCAAGGCGCCTCGCCTGCTGGTGGAGGGCAATGCTATGGCTGACGCCTTCGCCGCGCTCGAAGCTGACGGCGCAAGAGTGCCTGAAACGAGTCGTGCCCGTGTCCAGGCCACTGAGCATAAAGCGCTTTTGGATAGAATGAGGATTCTCCAGAGCACTACCGAAACGTTAGCAGTTGAGCAGGAGCACGAGAAGAGCCTCGGTCGGAAAGCTGCCCGCCGTGTCCAACCTAGGCCTCCTGCCCCCTCTGTCTGCGCAGTGTTCTCGTCTCAGCATGTCTTGTGTGAGTCGAATGCCACTAAGTGTAGCAGGTGTATGGGTACAGCCACCAAAGCGAAGCGTAAGGACTGGCTAACCTCCTCCTGTTTTGACTTAGTTAGTGTGGACGGGATTTTGTTCGATCCCCCCCTGGGCGGCGGGTGCACATCGCGGGGGGTTTTCCCGATCCGACACATAATTTGAGACATCACGCGGGATTGGGAGTCTGGTTCTGTTCAGCGTGCGGGTTCTATGCAGTTCAGCAGCTTAAGGAATTAGCAAAGCCGTGTGTTGGGCGTGTTGAAGGTAATCGGACAGATTATCTTGATAGGATTTCGCGCGGAATGTGGCCCAAAGCCTACAGCAGAGCTGAGCTAGCCAAGAAGCAGAAATCTGTCGTTTAAGTTGTTTGTCCCCGACCTAGTCGCTATACCCAGAAATCCAGAACTCCTCCTCCTCCTCCTCCTCCTCCTCCTCCTCCTCCTCCTCCTCCTCCTCATACTCTGTCTTATCCTTCTCCTCCTCCTCCTCCTCCTCCTCCTCCTCCTCCTCCTCCTCCTGCTCCTCCTCCCTCCCCTACCACCTGCCTCTGCTCGCCGCATGTTGATTTCGGCACACCCCTCACGCTTCGTGGCCCCATAGGGAGCTCCGCCGTAGGCTCCTGTGGATCAGACCGCATGGCGGGCTCCTGTGGAACAGACCGCATGGCGGCACCGCAGCCATTTCGGCGCAACCCTCTCCCGCTTCGCGGCCCCATCGGGAGCTCCATTCAGGGCCCCAATGGCATTGTCCGCAGGGAGGCACCGCACTCATGTCTGCAAACCATTCACACGTTTCATGGTCCCATAGGGAGCTCCGCAGAAAGCCCCTGCGGCGCAGTCCGCACGCCGTCACCGCACCCACTTCGGCACACCTCTCACACGCTTTGTGGTCCCGTAAGGAGCTCCGCCGAAGGCCCCTGCGGCACAGTCCGCACGTCGTCATCGTATCCATCTCGGCACACCTCACACGGTCTGTGGCCCCGTAAGGAGCTCTGTTGAAGGCTCTTGTGATACAGTCCGCATGGCAGCACCTCACCCATGTCGGCACACTCCTCGCACGCTTCGTTGTTCCATAGGGGGCTCCGCCGAAGGCCCCTGAGGCAAATTCCGCATGGCGGCATCGCACCCATTTCGGCACACCCATCACACGCTTCTTGGCCCCATAGGGAACTCCGCCGAAGGCCCCCTCCTCCTTCTCCGGGATATTGTTCGGCCCTCCCTGGGCCAACAGAAGCCTCCGGTGGCAGGCGCGGCTGCTGACGAGGTCCCCGCGGCGGCGGAGGAGGAGGAGGAGGAGGAGAAGGAGGAGGACCAGTGCAAACCCAAGACGCATCAACGATGTCGTAACGAACTGTCCCTCCAAGTTCCCCCTCAATAGGTCCAGTCCCTACAATAATGCTCCGTAGCCATTTCGGCTCACGCCATTCTGGACCAAGGCTCGCTGCAGTGCTAGTCCAGAAGACTCCCAAACAGCAATCAGTTCGTCGCTGTTTGTGAATCCAGTTGGTTCCTCTGACGACTGGCGGTCTACAAGATCCCGACGGTCTCGGCACTGCCAGGGTGGTTTCTATTTGGCTTCCCACTTCCCGTGCGCGCTGCACGCATGATGGAGAGCACGTACTCGAGCGCCTCAATGGAAGCAAGCACGCAGCTGGCTGTCAAGGGCCAGCGCCTCAGGGACTGGTGCGTCCTCGAAGAGTCCCTTGAGCGGCGACATGGCCCGTAGGCGGTGGTGGATGGCCCGTCGATGGTGGTGGATGGCCCTCCGCTGCGGTGGTGGTCGGCGTCCCGCGCCGTCGCGTTCAAGTGGCGTTCCGGGCAAGTCTTTCCCGAACATCGACCGGCGCCCCTTCAGCCCTCCAGAGCACTTGGGGACAGGCTCATTCGATGACGTTTGGTCAGCCTACGATTCACACACCAAAATGATGCTCGCCGTAAGATAATTTACACAGGCTTGAGGTACCTGACGTGGCAGAATGCGAACAGGAATCAGGAAGACGAGTTCATTGCCGCCATGAAGGAGTGCAGTCTTGTGGTGCAGATCGTGAAGTTCAAGTCGTCAGACCCTACGGGTGCCAGCCGGATCTGCGAGTGCTATGAAGAACATGTATCAGATGCTAAGAGTATCAACAAGCCCGTCTTCCTTATCATGGAGATGTGCGGGACGTCTTTGACTGGGAAGTTCATCAATTACCACAAGCAGCGCAGGTCCACGAATGTTCCCGGCGCCCGGGAGATGGCAAAGCAGATGCTAGAGGGATTTGACTTCATGAACTCTTTCAAAACACCCTTGATCCACCATGATCTGAAACCTGACAACGTCGTCATCACAGACGACGGCGTGATTAAGGTCATTAATTGGGTTCCTATGGTTTTGGCTTCCCCCAGCAACAGGTACGCGCGGATAGCGGCAACTCCGCTCTACACCCCACCAGAATACAGCCAGGGCAGGTGCGCCTGCTCTTATGCTGTGGGCCTAATGTACATGGAGATGATCTGCCCTTCTCTTGACTACAACACCTGGTTCCACAGCCGTCCTCGGACCGCCTCCAAGATAACGAACCTCGTCCGCAGCACATGCAGGTCGCTGTCCAGCTCGGAGTAATCCGAGGACGTGGGCCTCATGGGCCGCATGCTCAGCTGCGACCCCGCGAGGCGGCCCACGCCCAGCGCTCTGCTCAAGCAGGGCGTCTTCGGCAGCTCCACTTCGTCCGCGCAAGGCGAGGACATGGAGGTACCAGATTCCGCTGTGGTGCCCAAGCCCCAAGCCGATGACGCCTAGGGCCACCATCTCGAGGGGAAGCATACCTTCGATCCAGCGGAGGCCACGCAGCAGAGTGCTCCGACACAGAGCGGTGAGCTTAGGGTCGCCACGGCCCTCGAGCTTCAGCCGCCCAAGGCCTACAGGAACCCTGGCAGGGCGGGCTTGCAGGTGCAGTCGATTGGCTGCTTCTCAGACGGGTGGTGCTGCGTAGTGGACTTCGGATATGTGCCTTCTCCAGTGTGATAGTGGCGTCTCGGAGCTTGAGGAGTACGAGGTGACGAAGCCCCAGGTGGTTGTGCCAGGTGGTCGGGGAGTACGAGACGACGAAGTGCCAGGTGGCTGTTGTCGTGCCAGAGCACAACTCCTGGGATTTCACCCACCAATTCTGGAAAGTTCAGAACTAATACGAGAGCCACCTTTGGAAAAGACATCGCCCTGCATCCTTAAAGCTGTTACAAGCTTTTGAGACGAATGCACGCGGTGCTAAGACGATGGCCACATCAAAAAACCGACGCGCCCTCTTTCCGAGGGATTGCTGCAAATTTCAAGCCTCGGGGCTATGATTGGCAAGGAAGTCTCCGGCGAAACGCTTGGCCCGCCCTACCGACGCGTCGAGAGGTGCCACAGGTAGGAGTTTTTTTTGTTTTCTAAGGAGAAGAGACGGAGGACTCAGACCCCCCTTGGAACGCTCCGAAGAGGCCGCGACGCCCGATACATCTTCCAGCGACGCCCGAAACATCCTCCAGGCCGCCGCCAGATCTCAGAGATGCTCGATTTATCCTTCCCTGGATCTGTCCTCGCCCTGGCCTCGTCTGAAGAGGGGCCCCGATAGGGATGGGGCCGCCAGGGGGGTCGGACCCGGACCCCCTCGGGTCGTGCAGCCCTCCCCTCGGGGTCAGATGTTTTCGGTCGTCGACGAGGTGGAGCCAGACCTCGGGTCGCGAGCAAAGCAAGGCGGACTGCTTGTGACAGTTTCCGACTTGGGCCTCTCGCGGTGCCCAGGGGCCATCAGAAGATTTCTCGGGAGGGAAATCGGTCTCGAGTAGAGTGTCGAGATTTGTGGGGGACGCACGTCGTCAAAGAGTCATGGCGCCGGAAACGTTCCAGACTGGGGAGGAGGAGGCGGAGGAGGAGGCGGAGGAGGCGCGAAGGAGGAGGAGGAGGAGGAGGACGAGGAGGACGCGCGAAGGAGGAGAAGGAGGAGGAGGAGGAGTAGGAGGAGGAGGAAGAGGAAGAGGAGGAGGAGAAGGAGGATGAGGAGGAGGCGCGAAGGAGGAGGAGGAGGAGGCGGAGGAGGAAGAAGAGGAGGAGGACATCTTGACGCCCTTGGTCATTAGGGAAGAAAACACACAGACACAATTAATCGTCGATTCCCAGGAAAATATGGGAACATATGGGAAGTGGGAGGGAAGACAAGAACCCAGAGAATAGGGAAAAGTATGGGGAATCCTGTTATCTGTGTGCATTTATTTGTGTGCTTGTGGGCCCCTTCACTTTGGTTCTTCCCGGCACTCCTGGGGCCGTGGGGCGCTCCCGTCGCGCCGCGGCCGGCCTCGCCGCGGCACGCTGGCGGGGGCGAGCCTCGGGGGCGGGTCCCGGGAGCCGCTTGGCGCACGAGGCGAGAGGGCCCGGACGCCCGGCGCCCGCGCCGCTCCCGTCTTGAGTCGGGCGGGTCCCTCCACAGGAGGAGCACGCAAAGGATGGTCAAGACATCGTCGGGGGACGATGTTTGGGCTGTCTGTGCATGCCTTTCAGCATCTGGCGGTTATGTGTTACTATTCCTCCAGAAGCCGCTTGTAGGATAACACGCCCGACTTGTCCCTACCGCCTGGTTGGGTCGGGTGCGTCATGAACTTCCTTGCACGCCGCCTCTGCTGACCTCTGCGCACCAGGGGTCGAGGAGGCACTGCACGTGCTGCATGGGTTCGCTCGCGCCCAGGCTGCCTGAGGCTTCGGGTCCCCGATGCCCAACAGCTTGCCCGGTAGAAGAGACTGCTACGAAACCTGGCGCCGCGAAACAATTGCCAGTGCTGTGCTGTTTCCTTGATAGCGTTTTGCTCGAGGCTCCCCCAGGAGGTACAAGAAGGCCCACAGAAAGGTCCAGGCGGAGGAGGAGGCGGAGGAGGAGGCGGAGGAGGAGGCGGAGGAGGCGCGAAGGAGGAGGAGGAGGAGGAGGACGAGGAGGACGCGCGAAGGAGGAGAAGGAGGAGGAGGAGGAGTAGGAGGAGGAGGAAGAGGAAGAGGAGGAGGAGAAGGAGGATGAGGAGGAGGCGCGAAGGAGGAGGAGGAGGAGGCGGAGGAGGAAGAAGAGGAGGAGGACATCTTGACGCCCTTGGTCATTAGGGAAGAAAACACAGACACAATTAATCGTCGATTCCCAGGAAAATATGGGAACATATGGGAAGTGGGAGGGAAGACAAGAACCCAGAGAATAGGGAAAAGTATGGGGAATCCTGTTATCTGTGTGCATTTATTTGTGTGCTTGTGGGCCCCTTCACTTTGGTTCTTCCCGGCACTCCTGGGGCCGTGGGGCGCTCCCGTCGCGCCGCGGCCGGCCTCGCCGCGGCACGCTGGCGGGGGCGAGCCTCGGGGGCGGGTCCCGGGAGCCGCTTGGCGCACGAGGCGAGAGGGCCCGGACGCCCGGCGCCCGCGCCGCTCCCGTCTTGAGTCGGGCGGGTCCCTCCACAGGAGGAGCACGCAAAGGATGGTCAAGACATCGTCGGGGGACGATGTTTGGGCTGTCTGTGCATGCCTTTCAGCATCTGGCGGTTATGTGTTACTATTCCTCCAGAAGCCGCTTGTAGGATAACACGCCCGACTTGTCCCTACCGCCTGGTTGGGTCGGGTGCGTCATGAACTTCCTTGCACGCCGCCTCTGCTGACCTCTGCGCACCAGGGGTCGAGGAGGCACTGCACGTGCTGCATGGGTTCGCTCGCGCCCAGGCTGCCTGAGGCTTCGGGTCCCCGATGCCCAACAGCTTGCCCGGTAGAAGAGACTGCTACGAAACCTGGCGCCGCGAAACAATTGCCAGTGCTGTGCTGTTTCCTTGATAGCGTTTTGCTCGAGGCTCCCCCAGGAGGTACAAGAAGGCCCACAGAAAGGTCCAGGCGGAGGAGGAGGCGGAGGAGGAGGCGGAGGAGGAGGCGGAGGAGGCGCGAAGGAGGAGGAGGAGGAGGAGGACGAGGAGGACGCGCGAAGGAGGAGAAGGAGGAGGAGGAGGAGTAGGAGGAGGAGGAAGAGGAAGAGGAGGAGGAGAAGGAGGATGAGGAGGAGGCGCGAAGGAGGAGGAGGAGGAGGAGGAGGCGGAGGAGGAAGAAGAGGAGGAGGACATCTTGACGCCCTTGGTCATTAGGGAAGAAAACACAGACACAATTAATCGTCGATTCCCAGGAAAATATGGGAACATATGGGAAGTGGGAGGGAAGACAAGAACCCAGAGAATAGGGAAAAGTATGGGGAATCCTGTTATCTGTGTGCATTTATTTGTGTGCTTGTGGGCCCCTTCACTTTGGTTCTTCCCGGCACTCCTGGGGCCGTGGGGCGCTCCCGTCGCGCCGCGGCCGGCCTCGCCGCGGCACGCTGGCGGGGGCGAGCCTCGGGGGCGGGTCCCGGGAGCCGCTTGGCGCACGAGGCGAGAGGGCCCGGACGCCCGCGCGGAGGCGCCGGAGGACGGCGGAGGAGGAGGCGGAGGAGGCGCGAAGGAGGAGGAGGAGGACGATGGAGGACGCGCGAAGGAGGAGAAGGAGGAGGAGGAGGAGTAGGAGGAGGAGGAAGAGGAAGAGGAGGAGGAGAAGGAGGATGAGGAGGAGGCGCGAAGGAGGAGGAGGAGGAGGCGGAGGAGGAAGAAGAGGAGGAGGACATCTTGACGCCCTTGGTCATTAGGGAAGAAAACACAGACACAATTAATCGTCGATTCCCAGGAAAATATGGGAACATATGGGAAGTGGGAGGGAAGACAAGAACCCAGAGAATAGGGAAAAGTATGGGGAATCCTGTTATCTGTGTGCATTTATTTGTGTGCTTGTGGGCCCCTTCACTTTGGTTCTTCCCGGCACTCCTGGGGCCGTGGGGCGCTCCCGTCGCGCCGCGGCCGGCCTCGCCGCGGCACGCTGGCGGGGGCGAGCCTCGGGGGCGGGTCCCGGGAGCCGCTTGGCGCACGAGGCGAGAGGGCCCGGACGCCCGGCGCCCGCGCCGCTCCCGTCTTGAGTCGGGCGGGTCCCTCCACAGGAGGAGAAGGAGGATGAGGAGGAGGCGCGAAGGAGGAGGAGGAGGAGGAGGAGGCGGAGGAGGAAGAAGAGGAGGAGGACATCTTGACGCCCTTGGTCATTAGGGAAGAAAACACAGACACAATTAATCGTCGATTCCCAGGAAAATATGGGAACATATGGGAAGTGGGAGGGAAGACAAGAACCCAGAGAATAGGGAAAAGTATGGGGAATCCTGTTATCTGTGTGCATTTATTTGTGTGCTTGTGGGCCCCTTCACTTTGGTTCTTCCCGGCACTCCTGGGGCCGTGGGGCGCTCCCGTCGCGCCGCGGCCGGCCTCGCCGCGGCACGCTGGCGGGGGCGAGCCTCGGGGGCGGGTCCCGGGAGCCGCTTGGCGCACGAGGCGAGAGGGCCCGGACGCCCGGCGCCCGCGCCGCTCCCGTCTTGAGTCGGGCGGGTCCCTCCACAGGAGGAGCACGCAAAGGATGGTCAAGACATCGTCGGGGGACGATGTTTGGGCTGTCTGTGCATGCCTTTCAGCATCTGGCGGTTATGTGTTACTATTCCTCCAGAAGCCGCTTGTAGGATAACACGCCCGACTTGTCCCTACCGCCTGGTTGGGTCGGGTGCGTCATGAACTTCCTTGCACGCCGCCTCTGCTGACCTCTGCGCACCAGGGGTCGAGGAGGCACTGCACGTGCTGCATGGGTTCGCTCGCGCCCAGGCTGCCTGAGGCTTCGGGTCCCCGATGCCCAACAGCTTGCCCGGTAGAAGAGACTGCTACGAAACCTGGCGCCGCGAAACAATTGCCAGTGCTGTGCTGTTTCCTTGATAGCGTTTTGCTCGAGGCTCCCCCAGGAGGTACAAGAAGGCCCACAGAAAGGTCCCACAGCGAGGCTGGGGACCCCGAGTACGCTGGGTCTGACAGCCGTTTCGCCGGAGACTTCCTGCATGGATGCAGCAATCGCGCTCGCCATTTAGTGCGGGCTACATGTTGTTGCAAGGTGCACAGAAGAGTCCCGCAGGGGGGAACGAGGAGCCCGAGGACGTTTGGTCCGGCAGCCGTTTCGCTCGAGGCTGCCTTACAATTGACTCAGGCATCGTGCCCTCGCCTGGATGCCGACTACCATTAAGTCGGGCCTGTCCCTCCACAGGAGGAACATCAAAAAATTGTCAAAATAGTCCGGGGACGATGTTTATTTCACTATGTTTGAGCGTTTGGGGGTATTTTTTATTTTGTTGTATTTGTCGTCGACGATCGGCCTGTAGGGGGACACGCCCGACCTGAGGCTACCTTCATATCGGGCCTGTCCCTCTACATGGGGAATATCAAAACATAGGAAGAAATAGTCAGGGACTTTATTTTGAATATTTGTTGACCATTTTGGAATATGTTTTGAGTATTTCTTATTCTTCGTCGAAAATCCCCCTGTAGGGGGGACACACCCGACCTGAGGCTACCTCTTTG